CAAGTTCAAGAAGCACAGAGAGCTCTAAGTAGGAAGAATCCAAACAGGCCCACACCAAGACACATAGTAATTAAAATGCCAAGAATTAAAGACAAAGAGAGAATCCTAAAAGCAGCAAGAGAGAAGCAACAGGATACCTACAAAGGAAACCCCAAAAGGCTCTTAGGTGACTTCTCACAAGAAACACTACAGGTCAGAAGGGAATGGCATGAAGTAATCAAGGTCATGAAAAACAAGGATCTGAATCCAAGATTACTCTATCCAGCAGGGCTATCATTCAAAATAGAAGGTCAAATAAAGAGCTTCCCAGACAAAAAAAGGCTAAGGGAATACATTAGCACCAAACCAGCACTGCAAGAAATGTTAAAAGGACTGCTGTAATTAGCAGGAGAAATGGGAAGAAAAATAGAACCACACTAAACAAAAATGGCAATAAATAAGTACATATCAATAATCACCTTAAATGTAAATGGATTGAATGCTCCCATTAGAAGACACAGAGTAGCTGATTTGATAAGAAAGCATGACTCATCTATATGTTGTTTAAAAGAGACCTACCTCACAACAAAAGACTCACATAGGTTGAAAGTGAAGGGATGGAAATAAATTTTCCATGCAAATGGAAAGCAAAAAAAAGCTGGGGTAGCAATACTCATATCTGATAAAATAGATTTCAAAATGAAGGCCATAACTAGAGACAAAGAAGGCCACTACATAATATTGAAAGGATCTATCCAACAGGAAGATATAACCTTCATAAACATATATGCACCCAATATAGGAGCACCAAAATATATTAAAAATTGTCTGGAGGACTTCCAAGGAGAAATCGACAGCAATACAATCATAGCAGGAGACTTCAACACCCCATTGACAGCACTGGATAGATCCTCTAGACGAAAAATTAGCAAGGAAACAGAGACTCTAAATGAAGCACTAGACCAAATGGATTTAATAAATATCTACAGAGAATTACACCCCAAAACTACAGAATACACATTCTTCTCAAGTGCACATGGGACATTCTCAAAGATAAACCACATGATAGGACACAAACTAAATCTCTACAAGTTCAAGAAGATTGAAATCATATCAAGCATCTTCTCAGATCACAATGGCATGAAACTAGAAATCAATTGCAACAAGAACATGTAAAGACATTTCAACACATGGAAGCTAAATAGCATGTTCTTAAACAATGAATGGGTTACCAAGGAGATCAAGGAAGAAATTAAAAACTTCCTGGAGACCAATGAAAATGAACACACAAAAACAAAAAATCTATGGAATGCAGCGAAAGCAGTTCTGAGAGGGACGTTCATAGCACTACAGGCCTACCTCAAGAAACAAGAAAAATTTCTAATTGACTGTCTAACCTCACAACTTAAAGAATTAGAAAGCAAACAAAAGGAAAACCCCAGAGCAAGTAGAAGGAAGGAAATAGTAAAGATCAGAGCAGAAATAAATGACATAGAGACCAAAAAAAACCAAAAAAAACAACAATTCAAAACATCAATGAAACAAAAAGCTGGTTTTTCGAAAAGATAAACAAGATTGATGGACCCTCAGCTAGATTCAACAAGAAACAAAGAGAGAGAACCCAAATATACAATATCAGAAATGAAAGAGGAGAAGTAACAACCAACACCACAGAAATACAAAAGATCGTTAACAGCTACTATGAACAACTATATGGCAACAAATTCGACAATCTAAGCGAAATGGACAAATTTCTAGAAACACACAGTCTCCCAAAACTGGACTGGGAAGAGATAGAAAACTTGAACAGACCAATAACAACTAAAGAAATTGAAGAGGTAATCAAGACTCTCCCAGCAAACAAAAGCCCAGGCCCAGATGGCTTCACGGGGGAGTTTTACCGAACATTCAAAAAAGAACTAACACCCATTCTCCACAAACTATTTCAAAAAATTCAAGAAGAAGGAAGACTTCCAAACTCGTTCAATGAGGCCAGCATAATTCTAATTCCTAAACCAGAAAAAGACACTACAAAGAAAGAAAACTACAGGCCAATATCCCAGATGAACACAGACACCAAAATCCTGAACAAAATAATAGCAAATCGGATTCAGCAATACATCAAAAAAATTATTCACCATGATCAAGTGGGATTCATTCCAGGGATGCAAGGCTGGTACAATATTTGAAAATCAATAAATGTGATATACCACACAAACAAAATGAAGAATAAAAACCACATGATCATATCAATAGATGCTGGAAAAACATATGACAAAATCCAGCATCCATTTCTGATAAAACCACTCAGGAATATGGGAATAGAGGGATCATATCTCGACATAATAAAGGCCATATATGAAAGACCTACAGCCAACATCATACTCAATGTGCAGAAACTAAAAACATTTCCCTTAAGGACAGGAACAAGATAGGGATGTCCACTTTCGCCATTGTTATTTAACATAGTACTGGAAGTCTTAGCCACAGCAATCAGACATGAGGAAAAAATAAAAGGGATCCAAATTGGAAGGGAGGACGTGAAACTGTCATTATTTGCAGATGACATGATATTATACATAGAAAACCCTAAAGACTCCATCAAAAATCTACTAGACTTAATAAATGAATTTGGAAAAGTAGCAGGACACAAAATTAACATCAAGAAATCAAAGGCATTCTTATACACCAATGATAAACTCACAGAAAGAGAAACTGAAAAAAATCCCATTTACCATCGTGGCAAAAAAATTAAGCTACCTAGGAATAAACTTAACCAAAGAAGTAAAGGACCTATTTGCAGAAAACAAGACATTGAAAAAAGAAATAGAGGAAGATATAAAAAAGTGGAAGCACATACCTTGTTCATGGATTGGAAGAATTAACATCATTAAAATGTCCATACTACCCAAAGCAATCTATAGATTCAATGCAATCCCCATCAAAATACCAACGACATATTTCACAGAACTAGAACAAATACTTCAAAAGTTCATATGGAACCAAAAAAGTCCTCGAATAGCCACAGCAATTTTGAAAAAGAAGGTCAAAGTAGTTGAGATCACAATACCAGATATCAGGTTATACTACAAAGCGACTGTAATCAAAACAGCTTGGTACTGGCACAAGAACAGGCATATAGACCAGTGGAACAGAACTGAAAACACAGAAATAAACCCAAGGCAATATGCTCAATTAATATTTGACAAAGGTGGCAAGAGCATACAGTGGAGTAAAGATATCCTCTTTAATAAATGGTGTTGGGAAAATTGGACAGCTACATGCAGAAAAATGAAACTAGACCATCAACTTACACCCTACACAAAAATAAACTCAAAATGGATAAAAGACTTAAATGTGACCCGTGAATCCATAAAAATTCTAGAAGAAAATGTAGGGAACAAAATTTCGGACATCATACGGAGCAGAATTTTCACTGATACATCACCTAAGGCAACAGAAACAAAGGAGAAAATGAACACATGGGACTACATCAAACTAAAAAGCTTCTGCACAGCAAAAGGAACAATAATCAAAATGGAAAGGCAACCCACTGTATGGAGAACATCATTGCCAATGATATATCAGATAAGGGGTTAATTTCCAATATATATAGAGTGCTCATACAACTCAACAAAAGAAAGACGACCCCAATTAAAAAATGGGCAGAGGGGCTGAATAAACACCTCTCTAGACAGGACATACAAATGGCCAAGAGACATATGAAGAAATGCTCAACATCACTAATCATCAGAGAGATGCCAATTAAAACAACAATGCGGTATCACCTCACACCTGTCAGAATGGCCGCCATCAACAAATCATCAAACAACAAGTGTTGGCGAGGGTGTGGAGAAAAGGGGACTCTAATACACTGCTGGTGGGAATGCAGACTGGTGCAGCCACTATGGAAAATAATATGGTGTTACCTCAAAAAATTAAAAATTGAACTTCCATTTGACCCAGTGGTCCCGCTTCTAAGAATATACCCTAAGAAGCCTGAAACACCAATCAGGAAGAATATATGTATTCTCATGTTCATAGCAGCACTATTTACAATAGCTAAGATCTGGAAACAGCCCATGTGTCCATCAGTAGACGAATGGATAAAAAAGCAGTGGTATACATACACGATGGAGTACTATGCAGTACTATGCAGCTGTAAGAAAGAAAGCTCTCTTATCCTTTCAGACAACATGGAGGGACCTGGAAAGTATTATCCTTAGTGAAATAAGCTAAACAGAAAAAGACAAATACCACATGATTTCACTTATATATGGAATATAATAAACATAACAGTCTGAGGAATACTGTAGACCCAGAAACATGGAAGTAGGGCACAGACTGACATCCCTCAGAGTAAAGGTTGGGTGTGTGGGAAGAGATAAACCACAGAACTTATATGCATGTATACATAACCAATAGACATGGACAACAAAGCCGGGGACAGGGCGGGGGTGGGATGGGGAGGGGGGTGCCAATGGGGTCAAAAAGGTGAAACATCTGTAACAAAAAAAAGTAAATAAAAAAATTAAAAAAAAAAAAGTAAAAACAAAACAAACAATAAAGTTACCTGATAGGAATGCTATAAAAAATATAATTAATGGTAAATGCTTAGAATAATGCTTAGCATTGAGTAGCCACCTGGACAGTAGCTCCTGCTACATAAATAAAGTCCAAAGACCTCTAGATTCCAGGCCTAATGTAATAATTGACATGTATTTCTCAGCCTAAAACACTGCTCTGGCTACATCGCAAATGTCTTATTTTTACCTTAATGATTAATAGACAACTAATTATCCAAAATGAAGTTAGAAAAATTATAAATTTTAATTCTCTTCCATTAAACTTATATAGACTATATATCATGTAACGATAATGTAATATAAATGCTAAATTCCAAAAATGTTTTGAATTATTGACTTAACTAGCCAAAAAATAATTCCTATAATTATGTTGGTTAAAATGTCCTATATCAATAAAATTTATAGTTTATGTAGTTATTCTGCTTCAATACTTGCTTTTTTCTTTGTTTTTTCATGGGTTAAAGGGTAAGTTTTTTCAGCAAGTACTTCACAAGCTGCATTATCTACAAATAAAAACATACTTTAGTATTTTAGTTATTTAACTTATCATTAACTATAAGTACAGGAAACTCTAATTTGAATATAAACTAATTTAATAACAGTGACTTTGTTATAGTTTTAGAAGAAAAAACTGTATGTTGAATAATCTGATAGGATAAAGTATTCTTTAAAATATTTTTCTCTCAAGAGCTCCAAGTTTCACAGGAGTAAATATACTCTATATAAAAGATTTACATTTCAATTAGTACAAGAAAGTGTATGTGATTAAAATTCTTCATTAATTATCCTTCTATTTTCATTATCCTGTATTTTCAGGCTTTCTTTTTCTAATGCAACTTTTCTATCAGCATTTAAAACACACTCAAGTCTCTTTCATCTTACCAAAAATATTACCTGCCCTCCCCCTACACACACACATACCCTCCAGCTACATCCCTCTCTCTTCTTATCCATGGACAAGTTTCTTCAAGAGTGGTCCATATACACTAACATAACTTCCTTTTCTCCTGTTTTACTCTCAAACCTACATAATATAGTTTCAGCTCCCACCAATATGAGAAGAAACCTTTCCTGTTGTTTCTCATTGGACGTCCATATAACAGGCATGGACATCTTTCCCCTCTGGCCCTTTTTATAGCTCCTCTTTAGCTTTGACTCCTTCCTTTTCCTCATTCTCCACATTCAATTCAAGGTAACAAGTACGTGATACCTCGGTTCTCGAACATAATTCGTTCCAGGAGGACGGTCGAGAACCAAATTGTTCGAGAACTGAAGCAATGAAACCCAATAGGAAATAATGGAAACTGGATTAATTCGTTCCAAGCCCCAGAAAATGCCTATTTACTGGCCTAATTTGTATATAATATGTAGAAAAACATAAGTCTCAACAAGAAATAAAAGTGTACAGTATGTCTAAGGGTTAAATTCAGTGTAAAGCGTGACTCTCTCCACAAAGCGTGACTCTCTCTCTGCACTCATACTGATGGCACAAGCAAGGCGCGCTGGGCCGAATGAACGCCATTCGGCTCAACTCGGCTCATCTCGGAAGTTCGAGTTCCAAATATTTGTTCGGATTCCAAGACAAAAGTTTCTCGAATCTCCTGGTCGAATACCGATTTGGTCGAAATCCGAGGCATCACTGTATTTACTGAATGTCTGCTATATACCAATTTTACCTATTATATGTACTTAATATTGCAAATTTGGCTTTTCTTTATTCTTAACACCAGTACCTTGAGTTAGGCACCAAAAGATTTTCCTTTAGGTTATTTCAATAGCTTTTCAATTCACCCTCTGCTGTCCTTTGTTCACACTGTATACCTAAAATAAAAACCTAACATCATCTGCTTAAAACTCTTCAAAGGCTTTCCACAGCCCTCAAGTTAAAACTCAAACTCCTTGGCATGCAAAATCCTGGTTTTCATGATTCCTGTATTGCTTACATAATCCCAGTTTCATTGTGGAGGCTAATAGTTGCTAGGTAAAATACAGATTGCCCACTTAAAATTCAGATAAACAATGAATTTTTGTTGTTGTTAATCCTCACCCCAGGATATTTTTTCCATTGATTTTTAGAAAGAGTAGAAGGGAGAGCGAAGAGGGGGAGGGAGGGAGAGAGAGGGAAAGAGAGAGAAACATAGATGTGAGAAAGACACATTGATTGGTTGCCTCCTGCACATGCCCTGACTGGGGGTGGGGATCGAACCTGCAACCCTTGACCAGGAATTGAACCCTCAACCCCTTGATGCATGGGATGACACTCTAACCACTGAGCCGCATTGGCCAGGGCTGAATAATTTTTTAATATAATAATTTCCCATACAGTAGTACAAGCATGTGCAATATTTGTGATATAATTATATTAAAAATTATTTACTGCCTATATGCATATAAGTTCTTTGGTTTTTCTCTTCCCACCCCTTCCCTCTGAGGTTAATCAGTGTGTTCCATACTTCCATGACTCTGGACCTATTTTGTTTGACAGCTTACTGTGTTCATTATATTCTACACATAAGTGAGATCACATGATACTTGTCTTTCTCTGGCTGGTTCATTTCACTTAGCATAGTATTTTCCAGGTCCCTCCATGTCATTTCAAAGGGTAAGAGATCTTTCTTCCTTGTAGCTGCATAGTATTTCCATTGTATAATTGCACCACAGCTTTATGGACACAGTCAACAATACCGTGAAGGGGGTGGTATAGGGGTGGGTCTGGGAGCAGGGAGGGGGATGTCAATAGGGGAAAAGAAAAGGAGGCACATCTTTAAAATATATATATATATATATATATATATATATATATATATATGCTGCTAGTCTGAATTCAAATTTAACTGGGCATTCTTCATCTTTATTTGCTAAAACTGGCAAACCTTGAGAGTTAAATTTGGAAGCCATGCTTTTTTACAGGCACTTATACATACCAGAGGGTAGATTCAAAACAGATTAAGCCCAGATGGTGTGGCTCAGTGGACTGAGCATTGTCCCAAGGACTGAGAGGTCCCATTTCAATTCCCAGTCAGGGCACATGCCCAGGTTGCAGTCTTGATCCCCAGTAGGGGACATGCAAGAGGCAGCCAATCCATGTTTTTCTCTCACATTGATGTTTCTATCTCTCTCTCCCTTAAATCAATAAAAATGTATTTAAAAAAATTAAGCCCTGGCCAGTTTGGCTCAGCGGTTAGAACGTCGGCCTGCGGTCCAGAGAGACCCGGGTTCGGTTCCCGCCAAGGGCATGTACCTCAGTTGCAGTTTGCCCCGGCCCTGGTTGGTTGTGCGGGTGGCAGCCACTTGATGTGACTCTTTCACGTCAATGTTTCTCTCTCTCTCTTCCTCTTCCTCCCACTCTATCTGAACAAAAAATGGAAAAATGTCCTCGGGTGAGGATAAAAAAAAAAAAAAAAAAAAAAAATTAAAAACAAATAAAACAAAAAAGATTAAAATCTGAGTAGTCCTGAAGAACTCCCACATAGTAGATAAGGTTGCAAGGAAAGCTGAGCAGAAGTTGCCTAAGAAGTAATTTCTTATTTATTTGTCTGTCTCTATTACTAGATTATTGACTCCTTGAAGACAGGAATAGTGGCATTTTTTAACACTTAATAAAGAGCCTGACACACAACTGGAACACAGTTGAATCTGGTGAATTAAGGAATGTGGAAAAAATACCTCTAGAGCAAGACATAATTTATTTAATGTTGAATTTTAAGTCAATCAACCACATGTAATATATAATTCCAAAGTAACTATTCAGCCTCACCATCAGGCTTTATAAATAATATTTTCCACAGCCAAAGCACAACTTCTTATTGGGCAAGACCTAGGTAAAATCATGATTTGTTTACCCTTACTGTGTTACCTTTCTTTCTTTCTTTCTTTCTTTCTTTCTTTCTTTCTTTCTTTCTTTCTTTCTTTCTTTCTTTCTTTTTTTTTAAATCCTCACTCGAGGATATTTTTCCATTGACTTTCAGATAGAGTGGGAAGGAGAGAGCGAGAGAGAGAGAGAGAGAGAGAGAGAGAGACATTGATGTGGGAGAGACACAATGACTGGCTGCCTCCAGAACAACCCTGACCAGGGCTGGGGACCAAACCACAACTGAGGTATGTGCCCTTGACTGGAATCGAACCCTGGACCCTTCAGTCCCCAGAGACGCTCCAACCGCTGAGCCAAACTGGCCAGGGCTGCTTTACCTTTTTATTTCCGTTCTTTTCTTATTCACAAGTTCCCTTACTTTTTGGTCTGTAAAACAAATCCTCCTAATGCTCACCCTCCACCAGTAGGTGCTACTCCTTTTAAGTAAGTGTACTTTTACAAGTTTAGTTTTTATTGCCATATTATTCCCTTAGAACAGAAACTATCTTAATCATTTTTATACCCATAGTTCCTACCATAAGACCTGCCATTTAGTAAATGCACATTAAGATAACCTCTTAAAGTAAAATTACATAAAAAAATATTTTTGAGTTCATTTAAATATTTATACCCATTAGGAGCAAAACCAGCAATTTTTCAAGTTTATCCCCAAACAGATGCTATCAAACTTACTGTAGGAAACAAAGAAAGACATCTTTAACAGCAGAGATTAAAAAACTTATAAATGTCTTGCTAAGTTTATTCTAATAATAAAATAATAGAGTGCCTATAATGCAAGGCACTTTGTCAACCCTTTCATTTTTCATCCACCACACATAACTGCAATATATCTGTTTACTGATCATCTTCCTCTCTTATGACTAAATTTATGAAGGTAGGGAGTATGTATCACTCCCCACTGGTATATACAACAATGCCTAGAACAGAGTACATACTCAGTAAATGTTTATTAAACAAATTAATGATAAGTGCTATGTTGATAGTTAAGACCCACTTTCTAACCTCACATATCTTCACTTCTTAAATACAACCAAGCTAAAAAGCACTCAGTTTCCTGGGCTACCAATTTTCTTTATACTGCTTTGTGACAAAAATAACAAACTACGTAATTATAAAAATTAGTTTCACTATTATTTACCTGATTCTGAATTTGAAGTACTCTTTGGTTTAGGAGAAATATTTTCATCTGCTAACATCATCAGTCTATAATAAGAACAAATTAATGAGATTCTCTTAATCTTTTCAATAACTTTCAGGATCCTCAAATAATACTTAAAATAAGGACATTTGCATGCAATCAATTATCCTGTAGAAAAATACAACTGGTTAGAAAAAAAGTTACTATATCTATATGAACAAGTAGTTTAACAACTAGTATAAGAATGTGAGATAGTTTATGCAGAGGACAGGCGTAGTGTTTAAAGCCCAGTTCTGCTACTCATACTTGAGTGGCCTTGGGAAAATTACTTAACCTGTCTTGAGTCTTGGTTACCTCATTTACACAAAAGGAACAGCAATCTTGTTTCCCAGGATTCTTGTGGTAGTAAGGATCTCAAGTAACATGAGAGATACTTAAACAAAATTATTATCCTTTACTCTTCTACACGTCCACAAATGAGACTGCTTCCAAATATATAGGAGAAAATTAGCTATTATAAGAGGACAAAAGAATCCAAGTTCAACCTTTGACTACTAAAATGGGATTCCTGAGTCCCTAGAAAGACAATTGAGAGATGTGTTCTAAATTCCTATTACAGAGGCCTTCCAGTCAGGATGGCAGTGTAGATAAATGCACTATTCACCTCCTCCCACAATCACATCAAAATTACAACTAAACAAACAACCATCATTTAGAACTGCCTGAAATCTGGCTGAATGGAAGTCCTACAACTATAGAGTTAAAGAAGCCACATCAAGACTGGTAGGAGGGGTGGAGACTTGGGATGGGCTGGTCCCACACATGTGTGGTGGATAAAAATCAGTAGGGACACCTTATCTGCAGAGGTTCCTCCTTTGGAGCAAGGAGTCCCAGCCCCACACCAGGCCCTCCAGCCTAGGGTTCCAGTGCTGGGAAGAGAAGTCCCCATAATTTCTGGCTGTAAAAACCAGCAGGGATTGAGGGTGATGGAGACAGAGGCTGCTGGAATCCCAGGCAGTTCCTTCTAAAAGGCCTGTTTAAAGACTTACTTAGACTCACTCCTACTGGGCTCCAGCTCATGGGAGGCAGCTTGAAAGGGACCAGGGACATATGGGGAGGAACTCAATTGTTTGACATCAGGGCAAGAGCTTGAGGGGCAACTTTTTCCCAGAGAGAAGTGCTGGGAGACACCACTGTTCCTTTGATGAGCCCTTCCCAGAGCAGGCGGGTACCATATCTGAGACTCTATCAAACTGGCTCACACTGTTTACCCCACCCTGGTGATTGCCTGAGGCCCCACCCCACCCAATTTCCCCAGCCCACTCAAGCTGTTTCCAATAGCATTTTCATATGAATGGCTTGTCTTGGCTTGTTTCAGATTTTCCTAAATTCTCTCAAACAAGCAGCATCTGGCCTCAGCAAGCCCCATACTTCTTACTAAGTGGCCCTAGGTCCAGCACTTGGAGCAGCCAGCCTTGGTTCACAGTTTGGCCTCGCCTGGGCACCTCCAAGTCCCCCAGCACAAGAAGCAGCTATCTGCAGACCACTCTGTAGCTTATGTCAGGTGGCCCTGGGCAGAACACAGGTGGTGACTGACCTTGGCCTGCATCTCCCGGGAGGCCCCAGAGCCAGCGCACCCAGAGGACAGCACCACCACCCAACCATCTCCACAAGTGATACACCCAAGCAGGCACAAGAGCCATGCTGAAGTAAGTCCTGCTCTGTGAGATGGGCCCTGCACAGCTCCATGGTGGTTAGAAGTTGGTGGTCAGTGGTCACAGGCAGTCCTTGCACTGACATGCCAACAGTGATCAAGGTTCAACTACAAGAGAAGGGTGTACAGCCCACACAGAGGTTGTATCTCGAGTACCCAGCCTGGGTGATAGGGGAGGCTGTGCCACTGGACGCTACAGAACACCTACTATTTTAGGACACTCTACCAAACCTGGGAGACGTAGCAACTCTACCTAATAGACAGAAACAAACACAGGCAGGCAGCCAAAATAAGGAGACAAAGAAACATGGCCCAAATGAAAGAATAGAACAAAACTCCAGAAAAAGAACTAAACAAAATGGAGACAAGCAATCTACTAGATGAAAAATTCAAAACACTGGTTATAAGGATGCTCAGTGAACTTAGTGAGAACCTCAACAGCATAAAAAACAACCAGTGAGAAATGAAGGATATACTAATTGAAATGAAGAATAATTTACAGGAAATCAACAATACAATAGATGAAGCTGAGAATCAAATTGGAATATAAGGAAGCAAAAACACCTAATCAGAACAGCAAAAAGAAAAAATAATTTTAAAAAATGAGGATAGTGTGAGGAGCTTTGCAACAACCTCAAGCATACCAACGTTCACATCATAGAGGTGCTGGAAGGAGAAGAGAGAGCAAGAAATTGAAAACCTATTTGAAAAAAGAATAACAGAAAACTTCCCAAACTTGGTGCAGGAAATAGATATATACAGGTCCAGGAAGCACAGAGAGTCCTAAACGAGATGAACCCAGAGGCCCACACTAAGACATCATAAATGAAATGCATTAAAGCAGATGTTGGCAAACTATAACTCACAGGCCAGCCACCCATGTTTGTAAATCAAGTTTTATTGGAACACACACACACAAAAGTTAGACAAAGAGAGAATCTTAAAAGCAGCAAGGAAAAACAGTTAATTACCTACAAGAGAGCTCTCACAACATAGTTGATTTCTCTAAAGAAACTTTGCAGGCCAGAATAGACTGGCAAGAAATATATTCAAAGTGATGAAAAGCCAGAACTGCCCAGACGGTGTGGCTCCGTAGATTGAGCATTGTCCCAAGGGCTGAGAGGTCCTGGTTCGATTCCTGGTCAGGGCACATGCCCAGGTTGCAGGCTCAATCCCCAGCAGGGATCAATGTTTCTCTCTCACATCAATGTTTCTATCTCTCTCTTCCTTCCTCTCTCTCTAAAAGATAATTAAAAAACAAAACAAAACAAAAAAAACTAACAAACAAGAAAAACAAGGACATACAACCAAGATTACTCTACCCAGCAAAGCCATCATTTAGAATTAAAGGTCAAATAAAAGAGCTTCCCAGACAAGAAAAAGCTAAAGGAGTTCATCACCCCAAACCAGTATTATATGAAATGTTAAAGGGTCTTCTTTAAGAAGAAGATAAAAAATATGAACAATAAAATGTCAACAAATACATATCTATCAACAATTGAATCTAATACAACAAATAAACAAGCAGAACAGAAACAGAATCAGATACAGAGAACGTTTTGACAGTTGCCAAACAGGAGGGCTGGGAGGATGAATGGAAAAGGTGAATGGATTAAGAAGTACAAATTGGTTGTAGCAGAATAGTCATGAGGATGTAAAGTACAGTATAGGGAATATAGTCAGTAATAGTCTAGTAACTATGTATGGTGTCAGATGGGTGGGTGATTTATTGGGATGATCACTTATTAAGTTATGTAATGTCTAATCATTGGGAGGGGGATACACCTAAAACTAATATAATAATGTATGTCATAATTAAAAATTTTCAAAATGATTTAAAAAAAATTTTTAATTAAAAATGATTTAAAAAATTCCAGTTTGGCTCAGCAGTTAGAGCATAGGCCTGCAGACCAAAGAGTCACAGGTTCTATCCTGGTCAAGAGCATGTACCTTGGTTGCAGTTCGGTCCCTGGCCCTGGTCAGGGTTGTGCGTGAGGCAACCAATCGACGTCTCTCTCACACTGATGTATCTCTCTCTCTCTCCCTCCCACTCTGTCTGAAAATAAATGGAAAAATATCCTCAGGTGAGGATTTAAAAAAAAAAAAAAAAGACAAAATTTCTCAAATGGCAAAAAACAACAACAACCTATTACAGGTTTATTGAAGAGTTGAACTCTGCAATCAAAATACAATTTTTCAATGCCACCCCAATAAGTTCAATAAAAAATTTACATTAAAAAGCAATAATTTTTTTCTTTCATATTTCCCCTTTAAATTCATCCTGTCAAAACAGTAGTTTCTTATCCCTGAGTGAAACTTCAGTGTATTCAATTGCTTTTGTGGTATTCTCCTGTAATAAATGGTTATTTTTAGGTAATAACAAGCCCAGTGTAATATCACATCAAACTCTTATCCATTTTAAATTTCTTCCCTTTCCCAACTAGACCTTATTTAGCCTCATAACCTGCAGTGAGAAAAGCTTTCATGGTGGTTTCCTTCCCTATTTCTTGTTCTTTTTACTCTCCCATTTGATAACTACTCTTTGGGGTCCTTTGGCACTTGTGTAGAAGGAAGTTGTAGAAAGAGACAGAAAGGTCTTTCTTGATCTTGACTGATGCTGTTATAATGTGCCATTGGTGCCCTTTGAATGTGACAGATAACCAAATGCTATTTCAAACATGAAGCATTTTGAAGGGTGCAGTGATATGATTCCTCTATCCCTGGGGCTCTCTCACTTGCTGCTATTTATGATCTCCTCAGATACTGCATTTGATGACAGAACTCCTAGCCTCTCAATTATGTTTACTTTATTTTTGCAGAAGCCATGCTGGGCATGATCCCTTTTAAGATGATCCATAACTGGATCCCTCTGTGCATTATGCACAAATCTTTGTTGAATCAAACTCTGAAAGTACATCTAGCTTCCTCTTTATTCTGCCATTATAAAGCATCTAGCAGATCCTCTTGCCTTTTAGACTTTTCAAGTGTGAGACAGAAACCAAATTCCAGAGGACATATGTCACTGTCCAAATGGTTTTCTTGGAGTTTCCTCTCTTGTGTTGAGGTGATGGAGAAGTCTCCATCTCTCCTTGCATATGACACCAATAACAACTCTTATCAAAGAAATAAACGATCTTGATCTTGGTCATTTCATCCTTTCAGTGCATTCTTAACCTTTTCTTCTCTTTTCTTTTTTTAATCCTCACCCGAGGACATTTTTTCATTTTTGTTCATATAGGGTAGGAGGGTGAGAAAGGAAGAGAGAGAGAGACAGAGAGAAACATCAACGTGAAAGAGACACATCGAGGGGTTGCCTCCCACAGGCCCCCAACCAGGGCCGGGGATGAACTG